TCAAGGAGATCAAACCAGTCAAATCCTAAAGGAAATCAGTCCTGAATACTCATTGGTAGGATTGAAGCTGAAGCCGAAGCTTCAATACTTTGGTCACACGATGTGAAGACCCAACTCATTAGAAAACACCCTGATGCTGAGAAATTGAAAACAGGAGGAGAAGGGGACAACAGAGGACGAGATGGTTGGATGGCATCACTGACTCAATGGACACGTGTTTGAGCAAACTCCGGGAGATGCTGAGGACAGGGAAGCCTCGCGTGCTGTAGTCCATGCGGTGGCAGAGTCAGACATGACCGAGCAACTAAACAACAACAACAACACAGGCTTGCCTCATTACATAAAAATGTCACAGAGGACTTCGGAGGCTGAATCAATGAAGAGAAAGCATGTCACAGCTGTCCCAGGGAAGGTCAGTAAACAAAGAACTCTTCAAGGAGACTGTACTGAGGGAAGAATTCCTCCCCATTATCTGTTTCTTTGGTTAGAGCCCTTGTTACCAAACGGGGACAGACACGTGTGTTAATAACAAGCGGTTCCAAAGGCTGGAGGGACTCTCCTGTGCTTTAATGGTATCATCACAACCCCATTTGTCGGCTTCTCACAGTAACTGTTGAAACTTAACGTGGCTCCTGGGGACTGCATCAGCAGGTCAATGCCTCCACATCAGGAGGGCCAGAGAAAGTCACCCTGGGCTCAAGAGTGAAGGACTGAAAAATCAATGGTCTCAATATTGGTACAGGTCTTCATTTGCTACTTATAATGTGGTTTATCCCACAGAGAAGCTTTACAAAATAAGAAAAATACCAAGATAACCTAAAAGATGCCAGCAGAAGGAAAACATGTTTCAAAACTAAATGGGCTTCGTCCAGCATTTCTTAGGCTTTTTCCTGCAGGTCTTGGCACCAACAGTACCTCTTAACCATCCTGGGTTCTGCACTTTTGTTGCTAGACTCTAAGCTCCTTGGAAGGGCTTGTCTCTCATTTCTATCTGTTGCATTCACAGCGTCATAGTGCTATAACTGGTACTTAGTTTGCAGACAATAAATGTTTGCAGATGAATGGATATTATGATGGATATTTAGAATGAAAAAACATATTAAGACTTCCATTAGAAAAAGCATTACTTGTAAAGTTTTTTTTTCTCTGACTTGAACTTAAAACTACTTGGCCCAAGATAATATTTATGGTAGAATTAAAAGTATGTTCTCTGATTTTACTTGCCTATTAATATATGCATTTGATAATTAACAATGGTGCTAAGCGGTCAAAGCAAATAATTACTTTTCTAGTGTCTGCCCCTGTGTACGAGCTAAATGAGGGGAAAGCCACCAACTGCATATTAAAAAATGCAATTAAATGCAAAAAAATGGTAATGAGTTTCAAAAACATTCTGTTTAAGCCTCAGACCACAATATTCAGAACAGTCCTTTCACTGGCTCAGTTACAATTCCACAGAATAGTCCAAATCTTCAAAACAGACACAAATTCTCCTCGGGTCACACTGAATATAAAACCAGTTCTCAAAAGTTTCCCAGTTTACATTTTCGAGGTCTTCTGACCAACTGGTAGGGTTGACCATAAAAATTCTATCTTTACATTTACTTATGTTCAGTATACTTTATTTAAGAAGCAACGTAATCACATAGAATGCTTTTATTTTAAAACTTATTTTGAAAAGACTGAATACATTAACATAATTCAGAAAAGTCAGTAAACATCCACAAGAACATGTTATATAATCCCAGTGAGTCTCATAATATTCTATTTTCAAAGGAAAAAAAAACACTGGACAGAAAAGCAGTAAATTTGGAATCTGTTTCAAATGTCCAATAAAAGCAGAAGTTGGCTCACTGTGTGGTCCAGACTGAGAGCTCAAGCTGATGCTACATTATTTATCGGGCCAAATGGGTCCAGACAAACCAGCTGACTGCAAATCAGACCATTTGGAAGTGGCATTTACCTTGTAAACTAAGACTCTTGAGTCCTGCTGTGATTTCTAATTCCTTTTGAAACTGGGGTGCTCTGTGGTCACTTTGGACCTGTATGATCCCAGCACAGGGGAACCCTCAGCCAAGAGTCACCAAGGGTGGTCAAGTTCATTGGCAGCTAAGGGTTTTACCTCTCTACAAAACTCAGCACCATCCTGAGAACGCATTTCTGTACCAAGCTGCTGAGATGCTCGCATGCACAGGAGGTATAGAGTCTCTGCCCTGTGCTGGGTTGCCCCAGACTGTTGAGGTTTCAGATTCTAACTGCCATCAGTGAGTTCTGGACTCAGAAACTGAGGCTCTAAGGAGGTGAGCAGCGGACTTCCCTGGTGGTCCAGTGGTTAAGAATCCTCCTGCCAACACAGGGCACATGGATTTGATCCCTGGTCTGGGAAGATTCCCACACGCCTCAGGACAACCAAGCCCGTCTGCTACAATTACTGAGCCTGCGTGCCTAGAGGCCACGCTCTGTGAAGAGAGAAACCTGCATGCTGTCACTAGAGATTAGCCCCCGCTCAGGGTAAATAGAGAAAGCCCGCGTGCAGCAACAAAGACCCAGCGCAGCCAAAAATAACAGCTAAAATAAGGTTTAAAAATAATAAGGTAAGGGGTCTGGCCAAGTGTCCCCAGTGCATCAGGGGCAGATATGGAGCTGGCATCTGGGCCACGTGAGCCCTAATGCAGGCCTTGGTCCACCGTCTTGTCATCCCCCTTTTCCATCCAGTGACTGTAGCCATGAAATTAAAAGACGCTTGCTCCTTAGAAGGAAAGCTATGACAAACCTAGACAGCATATTAAAAAGCAAAGACATCACCTTGGCAGAGATCTGTATGGTCAAAGCTATGGTTTTTCCAGTAGTCATGTATGGATGTGAGAGTTGGCCCATAAGCAAGGCTGATCGCTGAAGAATAGATGCTTTTGAACTGGGGTGTTGGAAAAGACTCTTGAGAGTCCCTTGGACTGCAAGGAGAGCAAACCAGTCAATCCTAAAGGAAATCAGTCCTGAATATTTATTGGAAGGACTGATGCTGAAGCTGAAGCTTTTCCAATCCTTTGGCCACATGATGTGAAGAGCTGACTAACTGGAAAAGACCCTGATGCTGGGAAAGACTGAAGGCAACAGAAGGGGGCAATAAGGTATGAGACGGTAAGACAGCATCAACAACTCAATGGGCCTGAGTTTGAGCAAACTCTGGGAGATAGTGGAGGACAGAGGAGTCACGTGCACTACAGTTCATGGGGTTGCAAAGAGTTGGACATGACTTAGCAACTAAACAAGAACAACAAAGAGCAGGACAGGCTGCTTCCCCAGGGATGATATCACTGGGCTTTCCAGGGGGAGTCAAGGAAGCGAGTATGTCCACAATCGTGACTTCGTGTAAAACATGAGCCAATGGGGAATGTGTGACGATCTGAGGGTTCTCCCTGCTGGCCACACTCCCTGGACTTCAGGGACAGCGATTCTGGGCAGCCTCTCTTCCATCCTCACACGTTCACCCTGGACTGCTCTGGATAGGTAGGCTGCCGGACAAGAGAGCCCTGGTGGGGAGGAAAGAAGGCACCCGGGCTTGCTATAGATGGCCTCGGCTTCTAAAGGCGCCAGACATCACAGCAGGACTTGGGGACTTCCCTGGAGGTCCAGTGGTTAAGACTCTGTGCTTTCACTGGAGGTGGCACAAGTTTAATCCCTGGCCAGGGAAATAAGATCCCACATGCTACATGGTGTGACCAAAAAGAAAATAATAATAATGAATAAGTAAATCATAGCAAGATGCAAAGAGTCTGGGTTTACAAGGTAACATTAGCCAAAACAAACACCCACAGCAGCTGCAGCATTTTATGCAATGGTCTTTGGGTCAACTCTGTTCGTTAAGCAGAGACCAGGACAAATATGAGAGTGATCAGAGGTGCCTTCTCTGCCTCCCAGATGAGCAGGGGTGGTTTCCACTTGCTTAATCGTACTTGCTCACTGGGTTTTATCCTTGCCTGGAGAGAATGATGTTAGAGTAGGAAAGGGAAATTTAAAAAGGAGGAGAGTTCTAGAAGGTATCTGCTACGTTCACATTCCTAGTATCTCACTTTTTCTTGAGGGGAACCATCCTATTCTTCTGATCACTTGGCTGCCATGGAACTGCTCCCACATCCTGGCCTTCATGGAGCTATGTGAGCTGGATGGACATTGGTCTGGAACTTTGACTGGGCCATCAAGAACAAGGCACTTTCTTTCTGCTGTGGTTTCAGTTAGAAGGACATAAATCTAGAGCTCCCAGGAACCACTACCTAGAGAGTGCCTGCAGGAGAATGAATTAAACTCAAGAGGAAAGCAGGGCTGAGAGAGGAAGAGATGGAGGCCTGAGAGCAACTTCTGAGCCCCTGGATCCAGCCATTCCTGAAGCCCAAACTTGCCCCTGGACTTTACAGTACCAGAAAGTAACAACCCCCTGGAGAAGGGCGAGGCGACCCACTCCAGTATTCTTGCCTGGAGAAGCCCATGGACAGAGGAGCCTGATAGGCTCCAGTCTATAGCGTCGCCAAGAGTCGGACACAACTGAAGCAACTTAGCACATGTGCAAGGTAACACAAACTTAAAAAAAAAATTAATCCAGTTCAAGTTAGCTTGTCATTTGAAACTGAAAAAGCACGAACAAAGACAGGAGAAATAAAAGCATAAGAAAGAGGGAAACGAAAGGAGAATATTATGTTTATGGATGTGGGATCTGAAAGCAATTCAAGTTTGTCTCTTGTAAGTGAAGAAAGGTGACACATGGGAATCTGTTCCATTTTTCATAGGAAGCACAGATAATCAGAACCGTGGCTCTGCCTTATTACTGTGATTAACCTTGCCATATTCTAAAACTAAAATGAGAGTGTATTTTCTGATGTTTGACAATCCTGCAACCACTGTGAAGAGAAAGGAATGAGCCCTTACTGAGCAGAGATGTCTTTTAAGAGAGATTTTTTTTTTTTTTAGGGAAGGAGATAAGATCACAGCGACAGCCCGAGTCTTACCTGGCATGGCGTGGATGAGGTCCCCGCACAGAACAAAGAATTTGGGCTTGGGGTTCAGTTTGTTGATAGCCTGGACTGCTTGCTCAGCCAGACGGATCTCCTGTTCCCACTCATCACCACCGTTGTCACAGTCTCCTGTGGCCCAGGCCTTCATCAGTCCAAACTGGGGGTCTGCACCTTGGATGAAGTAGAATGGGCCTTTCCATTCCCTTTCCTTTTCTTAAAAAGAAAAAGAAAGAAAAGGAGAGAAGAAATATTATAAAATCTGTCAGGGAAAGCATCCAGGTTATCGTGTGAGTGGATACAATATTTTTCTTAAATTAAGTAGGTCATTTTAATAAGCTGCTGTTCAAACATACCATTTTCCTGTCATCAGCTAGAGGATTTTGATTTATACTAATTATGCCTGGGACCCGGTGATTCCCAAAGGCTGGGAGAAAAAAAAAAAAAACCCACGTGGGCTGTTAAGAGTCACACAACCAAGCTGTTTCTTTAAAAACTAGATGGCCAAGATGAAGCACAGAGGTATCACGGCATGCTGTATAGAGCATATTAATGCTCAATAGTTTTTTAATTAGAATTTAAAATACTGCAAATTGAAAGTTGCCAGAAGTATTATGTTTAAATGACTAGGTGAAGTGCTGTCAAATCTTTTACACCAGGCTTAATGGCACAATTTGCGCTGTTTCAAGGGATGTGACAGAAATTTAATTACAAAACTTGGAGTTCAGAAGCTCTGGCTACCTGGTTGGAAAGGCAGTGCCAAAAATGAAATCTTAGTCAATGTGGGGGGGGGAGAAAAAAAAAGACGCTAACATTTCCAAGGCAGCGTGATGTGGGCATAGGTGAGGTGTGAGGCTGTGGGTCAGGGTGGGGGAACCAGAATTTTTAATTCCTTATGTTCCTGGAAAGCACTTATATCACCTGAAGGTAGGTTATCAGACTGCCCTGCCTACTGGTTTTGCTAAAGTCGTGGGGGCCACAGGCCTCTACCCTAATCTGCCAGCAGTGTCTGCATTTGCAGAGCTGGAATGCCCATCAGTGGGCACAGAGGTTTCAAACTGTGGCTTCAAGCATCTCTTTGGCCACAGAATCCTTCCTTCAAACAAAATCACACATGGCAGACCAATGTTGGAAACACGTAGCCTCCTCTGCCCAAATGGGCTCTGGGGACAGAGCAGCCTGAACACATTCACTCACTCATCAGCCCAGATTTTATCCTCGGCCCAGAGAGGTGACACGACTTGCCTGACGGCCACCAGCCATCAGCTGCAAGGGCAGAACTACTCTGTGACCTTAAGACTACCTTCTTCTTTTGAACAAATGACTGTATTTTGCAGGTGAGCTGCATAAACGGCATTTGCTCTGGAGGTCGAGGATACTAGAATTTCCAGAAAGCCCCCTGGAATCATTTCACATCTCTGTGTTCATCTCACCCATCTACTCGATATGTACTGAAAGCCCACTGTTTGCCAGGCCCTGTGTGATGTGCTGATGACACACGAGAGGACCAACACAGGTGAGGTCCCAGCTCTCTTGAGCTTCGTTCTCAGGGGAGACAGCAAATGAGGACACACACAGAGGGCAGCCGGGGGGTGCTAAGGGCTCTGCAGAGGATTAAGGGGGGAGGTGGCGCAAGTGGCAAAGAATCTACCTACCAATGCAGGAGATGTAAGAGATAAGAGTTTGATCCCTGGATTGGGAAGATCCCCTAGGGAGGGCATGGCAACCCACTCCAGCACTCTTGCCTGGGAAATCCCATGGACAGAGGAGCCTGGTGGGCTACAGTTCACAGGGTCGCAAAGAGTTGGACAGGACTGAATCGACTTGGCCCAGCACACAATGGCTAATTTAAATTGGATGCACAGAGAGGTGGTGTCATTTAAGCTGAGATCCAGATGTCGCACACAAGCTTCTGAAATTCCACGGTCACCCTCCCACCCACCATGCCTAGCTTACTATCACCTCAAGAGTGGGTCTCAGGCTTTAGGTCTCCCTTCCTTTTCTTCCTCCTTTTCCAGAGCTTAAGAGGACAAGCATGTAAACAAACAAAACCACCTACACCTGCTTGCCAGAACAAACTGTACGTGTGTGCTAATCTGCCGGTTCCTGACTGACGGCTCAGAATCCCAGCTGTTCAGTCAAATCGCCACTGGCCTGAACTCAGTCTGAACAAGGACGATGAAACCCTGTTGTGTGCATCCCATTACCAAGGACAGCAGCTCAACACTACCACAAATTTGACTCACATTCATTGAGCCCTCCTTACTACTCGTGGCAGAATGAATCCAGAATACTCCCAAAGACCCCTGACTCCCGATATTCACATCCTGTGTGATCTCCTCCCCTTGACTGTGGGCTGGATCTAGACCTGCTTAGCGACTGACTTGCCTCTAATAAGCAGAATACAGTTATGAGATGAGCCTTCAGAGACTGTATGCATATCCTGGGGTATGCTATGAAAACAACCTAAATGCTCCTTGATGGACAAATGGACAAAGAAAATGTGGTGTTTACACACAGGGGAATATTATTCAGCCCTAAGAAAGGAAACCCTGCCATTTGGGACAATATAGATGGACCTGGAGGACACTACGCTAAATGCAAGAAGCCATAAAGTGGGCAGGAAGGAACTTCACGAGGAGATGCACATTTATAATAGATGTCTATGGGAGTGATGGTTTCACAGGTGTAAAGTTATCCCCCAGCTCTGAGTTGGACGCACTGAATATGTACAGCTTTTCACATGTCTTCACACCTCAACGCAGTAGTTCTGAAAAGGAGAGAGGTTAAGTGAAAACAATACAAAACAAAAGACCCCGACTTCCATTTTGCTTGCTCTCCCTCACTCTCTCTTGGAGCGCATGTCCTGAAGGGAAAAGGCTCCCAAGATGAGTAGTCCAAACGTGGCAAGGGAGGTCTCTGGCCAACACCCTGTGAAGACCCGAGGCCTCCCCCTGCAGCACCCGAAAGGGACTGAAACCTGCCACGGGCACGTGGGTGCACCTGGAAGAGATTCGCCCTGGGCGAGCTTTTGGATGAGACCACACCCCAGGTGACGCTTGACAGAGTCCTCCTGAGACCCTGCAGCAGAAGGATGTGGCTAGGTTGCACCCAAGATTTCTGATGGGAAATAGGAAATAACGTGACTTAGTTGCCTTCAACTGCCAAGTTCCTGGATAATTGTTAGCACACATCAGGACTTCCCTGGTGGTCCAGTGGCTAAGAATCCACCTGCCAAGGCAGGGGATCCCTGGTCTGGGAAGATCCCACATGCCACAGAGCAACTAAGCCCGTTTGCCACAGCTGTTGAGCCTGTGCTGTGGACTCTGGGAACCGGAACTATTGAGCCCACGTTCTGCAATTACTGAAGCCTGTGCACCCCAGAGCTCTGCAACAAGAGAAGCCACCACAAAGAGAAGTCTGCACCCCACAACTAGAGAGAAGCACCCACTCGCCATATCTAGAGAAGGCCCGAGAGCAGCAACCAAGATGCAGTGCAGCCAATAAGAAAAATAATAAAATTAACTTTAAAAATATCTGTTACACAGATCAGACTTAGACGTCCAGGAAGGGGTCAGCAACACTTCTTCGCAAGCTGAAGGTTGGTGTTGTGGAAAAAACCGAGATTCTGACTTGTGTTTTAAAGTTCATTGTTGGCACTGTTCATTCATTTTACTTAACTAGTAACCTTTTTGTGCTGATGAATGCTTTTCACCGCTTTTTCTGTTTCTGAGGCAGTTTGCAAAGTGGTTTAAACTGGATAACTTAAACAGAGGGGGATAATCGTCATCTGAAGGTTGGGGCATAAATCAATCTGCTACAACAAATAAAATTTATAAACAGTTTTCTACAGTAACATTTTAACAAACATAGTTTTCTATGACAAATAGTCATAGTCCTGGAAAGTCAGTAGTCTTTGGAGGTATTAAATCTTTCATTATTACTCGTTTACTTAGTCAAAGCTTAGAATCTCAAATTTATGATGACAAGGCGCAAAACAAACAGATTTGATCTAAAATAAAGGACAGCTCACATGTCACTATTCCATCAACCTTATCCTTCTAATAAAGGCAATCTGTTGATTCAGGGCTCTGCGTTCTCAGAAACACCTGGAGCCTCTTAAAGTTCCTGCCACAGAAGTCTATGTGGTCTTTGGTCTCGATTTTAATCAAGGCTGAATTAAAGATACTTGAGGCTGGTAAGGCTTAGTACTAGATGGAGGAATCTTTTGTAAACTTAGACCTTCCCTGGCCCCTCAGAAGGGCAGATTTTTATATTAGGAAAGCAAATTCTTAACATCTGCATTAAGTTCACCAAAGTCAAGAGTTACCCCCAGGACAGGGCTCAGGTATGAGTTGACTGACACCTACAAGAGCTTGGGAGAGCTTACAACGCCTCCCTTCCAGGGCAGAGCAAATGACTGCCCCCCAACCCCACACACCCAGAATAGACCAGCTTCTTTCTTTAGAATCCTGGAAAGCACTGTTCTGCCAGCTGAAACCGTCGAAGTCTGGATACAGTGAGGTCTGTCCCTAACGCTCCCTGATACACAATCAGGGCATTTAAAAGACGCTTACGGGAGGCTTTCCTGGTGTTCCAGTTGTTAAGAATCCACCTGCCAATGCGGGAGACAGGAGTTTGATCCCTGGTCCGGGAAGATCCCACAGGCCTTGAGGCAACTAAGCCCAAGAGCCGCCACTACTGAAGCTCGTGTGTCCCAGAGCCAACAAGAGAAACCGCCACAATGAGACCCGGCTCCCTGCAACTAGAGAAAGCCCATGTGCAGCACCAAAGACCCAAAATACATGAATAAAATTTTAAAAAACACACTTCATTTAAAAAAAACTTCCTAGTCCAAAAGAGCCTAAACGTGCTCTGAACAAGAGAAAACCTCCGCAATGAGAAACCGGTTCACTGTAACTAGAGAAAGTCCATGTGCAGCACAAGACCCAAAATAAACAATTTTAAAAAAGAAAAGAAAAACACTAATACAGTATACTAACAGATATATATGGAATTTAGAAGGATGGTAACAATAACCCTGCATACGAGACAGCAAAAGAGATACAGATGTATAGAACAGTCTTTTGGACTCTGTGGGAGAGGGCGAGGGTGGGATGGTTTGGGAGAATGGCATTGAAACATGTATATCACCATCTGTGAAACAGACTGCCAGTCCAGGTTCGATGCATGAGACAGGGTGCTTGGGGCTGGTG